GTTCCGGTTCGTTTAGGCATCGTTTACGGACCGCGCGCTCGATTCCGGCGATCCTCTTCTGTCCGTCGTTTGGTCGGTCGGCCTACTAGGTGATGTCCCGCACACGTGCTGGTTCGGGAGTTCCGCCGTCGTCCGCTCGTCGATCGTTCGTCGTGTGCGCGCGTGTCCGTGCTCGTCGTATTGTCATCTCGACCGGCCGACGTCCGCCGGGCGCACGGAAACCGCGGTGGTTCCGAACAGACGCGATGCGAAACCATGGTTAGAACAACACGTGACCACGTGTACCACGTACCTACGGTTCACGTGCGTTCGCGATCACCCGCTTACGTGTGCACGTGCGGTTATTGTTATTTATCATTTATAATAATTTTACGTTTGTGCGATCTTCGTATCGACGTTTGGAAAACGAAAACCACCGAGAGTGTTACCACGACGAGCCGCTGCGTCGATCGGAGGTCGAGAGGAAGAGAGAGAGACGTATCCGTCGTGCGTCCGATGGCGCGTTGGGTTTCGTGACTGAGCCGCGGTCAATGCTCGTGTGCGTGCGCGTACGTTGTTTGCGTATGCGTATATATATATACAGTGTTCAGGAAAATTATGTGCGTAACGCTTAAATACATATACGTGAGCGAAAAAAATTGGAAAATATCTCAACGAGAAGAGGGAGAGTAGTGGTTGGTGGCGGTGGGAGAAACTCGCGGTGGCGGCGCGCCTGTTGCGGTCGTGGTGTCTCTCCCCTCCGCTGTCGCCACCACCGCAGCGCAACAATCTCGCGGCGGCGACCCGAGGGCAGTTTTAAACGGCAATTAGCACCGCGAATATTCGACGGCGGCGGCGGCGGCGGCGGTTACATTCTCTTACGTCCGTCTGACGAGATTCTTAGCGTACGCGGGGACGACCACGACATTTTATCATCGCGCGCGCGTTTAAGCGTTCACGATTTATCATCGCCACCGTCGATGTTACGTCGAATCATTGATGTTATCCCGTTTAAGCGTTTCAATATTGCGGTTAATTTCTTTGTTCCGTCTCCCTTCGCTAGTAAAAAAAAAAAAAAAAAAACTGATATAATAATAACCCGAAAGAAACATTATATTTTATGACTGCAACGATGATATATTAACGAGTATTACAATCCAGAAATAAACCCCTCGTGAACTTAAGCTTTACGCTACAACGACGTACGCGTGTTCTTCTGCGCTTATAATATAATATGATGTTTGGACGAAATAAAAAGGAAAATAGAGACAAATAAATGTCACCAGAAATCATAAACCGTACGGTCGTAAAACTGTGCGGTAACCTATCGTTTTTAGTAATTTATAAGTAAATGAAATAAGTAATAATAACAAGGTGATAATAATAATAAAGTAATTCGTAGTTCGTGGTGTGTGTCATGACTGTTCACACTATCCACACACTTTTACAGAGTTCGAAAACTGGTTTCCGATTAACCATTGGATAATTATCGTGTTTTATGTGTATGACTGACGACGTTTTCGGTCAATCTCGGTTAATAAACATCTTGTGCCAGTGCAACTCTTTACACGTGTTTAGTTATATCCTGTATCAATGGCTATAAATTCGTCTTAATATGGATCATTTTGTTAAGTGTACATAGACACTTTAAGTAGTAGTGCGTAATAATAGTAGTGATAGTGTGCGTGTTTTAAAGTCAACATTTGTTTTAGTTTAAAATTTAAGTCGACGGACTTTCCGATTTCTAATGAGTTATGAGATTTGTGTGTCTTTACAGTCCGTACGTTCATTCTATTAACGTGATCTTTTCACAAGTATTTTTGTGAATCAGATCTCGTGATACGAGCATTATGAATATTTATTCACTTCGGGGGTTAAACCTATCAATATTTATACCATTACGTTTCATTCGTCCCGACATCCAAGAAAAATTACATTTTAGCGTACTTCCAATCATTTGTCAAGAAGTGTTTACCGCGAGGCATTTGATATTTTTATTTACTACACTTTTGTATCTTATATTAATCTTATATTAAGTTACTAGTATAAAGTAAGAAAAGATAAAAATATCTTGATAAAAACGTTATTTCTCCAACCGAATTTAAAGTTTATACATTAAATTCGTTCTTTTATCTGAGGTTATATGACGATGAATTGTTATGCGTATAGTAAACGTATTCTAGTTGAGTTAAACAGGTCCGTCTTGTTAATCAATTCGAGTTTAGACGGTGAACATACTGTACCTGTGTGTGACATTATTTATTGATATGAAACTTAGAAGACCATGTAATTTTTTCAAGTATTTTAAATATTTAGATATAATGTAAAGGTGTTGTTAACTTTTTCCTGTATTCTGAACCGATGAATTTCAATTTATGTATATTTTGTAATTTAGCAACAATTTACCAAATAAATCTATTGAACTTAAAAAAAAAGTATTATGAAGTTAATTTAAGACAATATTTATATAAGATTAAAAATTACAATAGTTTTGCAAGAACTTAAATTATGACCTATTTTATATAGCATTTTATAATAGTACAACATCTTACGTGATCGAATTATTATTTTCATCGTTTAGTATTAATAAATAATAATAATTTATTATTATAGATTACTGATATATTACTATGATATCAATAACTTATAATTATCCATAGCTATAGTGAAGATAAATATGTAATATTGTTTACGAATAGTAGTTAAATGTGTTTTGCTTTAATGAATAAAGTTAATATTTGATGGGTCCAATGTTGAACTACAGTTCAGATTCATGATTTAATAATTGGCAGTTATGTTAATCAAATTTAGTAACTCATCGTTAAATTTCTTATAATTAGTTTAAATGGATGAATTTTATAAATTACTGAAATTTACTACTGTATACAATTAAATTTGAAAGTTATTGTTATTTTTTTCATAGAGATTTTAAGTTATCGTAATTTATTAAACATAATATTTCTGAAATCTACTTTTTTTGCCTTATTCATAAATGTTATTTGATAATTTATAAAAAAAAATGCATTATTATTAGTGCAAGAAATACGATTTATGAATCTTGTACAAATTTTTAAACCAGTTATACAACTGCTATGAATATGTATATCTCCCTTTACCTCAACAGATATTTTACTTGTTATTTTTCGATGATCCTTATAATTTTCAATCAAAAATGTAGTTTCAAATTAAAAATATATATATAGGTTTCATAAAAACATTTGGACGTATAATATGTTCTACTGTCTAAGTGTATTGCAAAAAAGTTGTATAGTTATTTTAAAATAAACAAATAAGATATAAAGTTGTTAAATGGAGTGATAGAAAAAAAATACGAAAAAGAAAATTAAGTCTAAGTCGACATCATTTAAATAATGGAGTCAAAGGTATAACATTTATAAACACGAAAAAGTAGTTAAATTTAAATTATGTGATTGGACCCGTACAAAGCTTTGCATTTATCTTATAAGTTATGAAGTTATTCAATTTAGTGGAATTCGAATGCAATCCCTCAAAGTATTACGTGTGTAGGCACCTCTTTTTTTTTTTTTTTTGATAAGTTTTATCAGTTAGACGGAGAATATATCAAATTGAACGTGACAATTTCAGAACTTTATCAAATACGTAGCTGTATATATATATATATATATATAATAAATGTACCAACATTACGTTTAACGAATTTACGTTTTACGAATTTCAACAACAAAAAGACATTATTTAACTTTTTGATTTACGATGAATTTTTTTTCGGTAAAAAAAAAAAAACATTTTACACATTAAGCAAATACTATTATATGATACGTAGAAAGAAGATATTATTTGTATTTATAAAATAAATATAAAACCTTTAAACTTTGTGTACGTTAAACCGTGTGTGTGGTTAATCGCATGTTTTACGAGGCAAAGAACCACCTTATTTTATTGTGTACACGTTGTGTATATCGTACGGATTCCAATATTGAAGAAGAATTATCATTAGGCGCGTGTAGTTCTGTAATATAGTTCTGAGCACCCGTTTGAAAAACTTAACGTTAGCATTTGCGTGTCGTCTGCGTGCGCGTAGGTGTTCAGTATGCGAAAGATCTCGACGAGAATCGCACAACGCAAACGTTATGTAAAAGTGTCGTCGGATCGCCTATGCGCGTCACCACACCCTGTGTACTCGTACGTGTAAAGTTTGGTGTCAAAACGCCGTGAACGTTTTCGAGGTACAATTTAACGCCGTATGGAGCAATTGGTAAAAGTGTTGAAAATCTTTTAATTAATATTATCCCGTGTCCTGCGGCGCGGTGTTCGACCTAGTGAGTGCCGCGTTTACGACCTTGCATTTTTTTTTTTTTTTACTTAACGCTTTTCTGTCCGAACGGTACGCGCCGTCGTCTTAATATGCCCGAATACGATAGGTGTTTTTGCACGGCGCACCGACGGCACACGATGTATGTATACGTGTCCGCGGGGTGCAGTGCGCGCGCATTATGCACCAACGGGTCGTGGTCGTCGTCGTCGTTTGAGGGTTGCGAAAACCGCTTCACGGGCTATTTGCGCGGTATGTGTCGTATTTCAAACGTGTCATTTTTCCCATTGTGTGACCGTATTACAATGTATGTACGCGCGTGTGTGCATGTTATACGTTTGGAGAATTTTATCCACGTACACGGTGTATGTATGTATTTTTTTTTCGTACCAAGTTGTGACGAATTGCCGACGGTGGTGTGTAGTACGCGCGTGGAGGTCGGCCATTATTATCGTAACCTTACGTCGCCGAAAAAAAGGAAAATGTATGTGAAAAATGATTTTCCGCCCGCGCGAGGCCGTTCGAGGTCGTGTTTCGCGTATTTCGAAACCGCCGCCACCGTGAAAGGTGTATGTGTACGTGCATATGTACGCGCATACCATCGACGTACGTTTGTGTGTGTGTGCAGTGAGTACGGTAGCAGTGGTAATGGTTGTGATAGTGGTGGTGGTGGTTTGTTACCCGCTTTTCCGGGCCGATTTTCCCACCATCACGGGATTTACGTTTCATATATAAACTCCGGACAACCGCAGTATCAGTACCACTATCAGTCTTTCCTTCGTTTAACAAACAATTTTGTGCCAATACAAAAATATGGGTTCCTTAACTCTGGTAAGTACAATTTTTTTTTATACAACTATACATTCTTAAAATATTATTTTATATTATAGTTGTCTTCGTATAGCTGTGTATAATAAAACACCGATATCGTTCGCAATATTTTTTTTCTTTTTTTACTTTTTATTTATAATTTTACTTTTCTATATTCTTATTCTCGCAGTACAAGCACACATTTTTCCTTTTCTTCATATTCCGCATACACAGGAGGATAATTTTTTTTACGATTTAAATCGCACTTTTAAGTGAATACACCACCGACTCGTACGTTCGAGGGTGATAGTGCTGTACCAAACTGTGTATGTAAACGTTCGGGTTTTTTATTACAGTTCCAATAAAATTTTATTAGTCCGTGCCCGTAAAACGCGCTCCCGCATTCTCCCGACGTTCTGTAGCGGTGGTCCATGTAAACAACCGAGTTTTGACTTTTTTTTTTCTTCCGTTCAGCGTCCCATAAAAACCTCCTAGGGGGAACATATAACTCGGAAAAGGGACTAGCTTCGTTACGGATCGTAAAGTACCGGTCTCCGTCGTGGTCGTAAAAAGAAAAAACCGTGTACAAATACACTCGCGCATGTATGTAGTACGCGGTGAAAAAAACAAAATGTTCAAAACGAGTCGTAAAATTTTATGAAACATAAGTAGAGTTGGCTTTTTAATGTTTTTCAAATAATTTGTTTGAGGTTTTACGGCTTTTCGGCAGGGGATTTTTATCGTCGCGCCCCCCACCCCTCATACGATTTTCCGTGCGTGTTAACTGCGCCCGAAGCCGACTTGTACACCGAGCACTGTGTTGGATACGGAATACGACAACACACACGCACACGCCAATTATATACATACACTCACGGGATTGTGTACTATAAAAACACGTCGTTTAACATATTTTTTTACAGATAACTGTCGCGTGTTTGGTCGGCTTGACGTCTTACGGTGCGGCCAAAGTGAGCGACAATGAAGTAGCAGAAGGGTAAGGGTCGTCGTCGACATTGCGCAGCGTGTGATGCGGCGTGCGCGCTGTCATAACAATCGCAGCGCACGCGCCGCCCACATGCGTCCAATGTAGTCAATCCTCCGACGTTGTTCGCGATCTGTTGTTATCGATGTTTAAATTTATTTCCGTATAATATATTGTGTAGAGTTATCAAGCACACGCATTACCATACCGGGGACGTGGAACACGCGCACAAACACGACGGTGAGGCGCACCACGAGCACCACCACAAGGGAAGCGCGGAGCACGCCCATCATCACGGCGGCGAGTTTGGTCACGGTCACCACCACGGCGGCGAGTTCGGGCACGGACATCATCACCACGGCAGCGCGGACCACAAGCACCACCACGGCGGAGAATTCGGACACGGGCACAAGCACCACGGTAGCGCGGAACACAAACATCACCACGGTGGAGACTTCGGGCACGGTCATCACCACGGCGGAGAATTCGGTCACGGACACCACCACCACGGAAGCGCCGAGCACAAACATCACCACGGTGGAGAATTCGGACATGGACACCATCACGGCGGCAAGTTCGGACACGGACACGAGCACCACGGAAGCGCCGCGCATAAGCACCACCACGGCGGCAAGTTCGGACACGGACATCATCACCACGGCAGCGCCGATCACAAGCACCATCACCACGGAAGCGCTGACCACAAGCACCACCACGGCGGAGAGTTCGGACACGGCCACAAGCACCATGGTAGCGCGGAACACAAACATCACCACGGCGGTGAATTCGGACACGGACACCATCACGGCGGCAAGTTCGGACACGGACATCACCACCACGGAAGCGCCGAGCATAAGCATCACCACGGCGGTGAATTCGGACACGGACACCATCACGGTGGCAAGTTCGGACATGGACACCACCA